GTGACCATTCAATGTTAAAAGAACATTTTTTAGGTTTTTTTAGGTCATTTTTTTATTGATTAGGGATGAGCTCATGTACGGAATGAGACTGGTCCGAACCTGAGCTCCTCCAAATCAGATCTAAACCTGAGATCCTCCAAATCAGATCTAAACTTGAGCTCCTCCGAATTTGATCCAAACCGCAACTCCTCTAAACCTAGTCCAAACCTGAGCTGCTCCGAACCTGGTCTAAACCTGAGCTCCTCCCTTCCTGGTCCAAAGCTGAGTTCTTCCAAATCTGGTCCAAGCCTGAGCTTCTCTGAACCCAGTCCAAACCTGAGCTCCTCCAAATCTGGCCCAAACCTGAGCTCCTCTGTACCCGCTCCAAACCTGAGCTCCCCCAAACCTGGTCCAAACCTGAGATCCTCCAAACCTTGTCCAAACCTGAGCTCCTCCGAACCTGGTCCAAACCTGAGCTCCTCTGAACCTTGTCCAAACCTGAGCTTGTCCGAAACCCAGTCCAAACTTGAACCTGGTCCAAAGCTCAGTTCCACCAAATCTGGTCCAAACCTGAGCTACTCTGAACCCGGTCCAAATCTGAGCTCCTCCAAATCTGGTCCAAACCTGAGCTCCTCCGAACCTGGTCCAAACCTGAGCTCCTCCAAATCTGGTCCAAACCTGAGCTCCTCCGAACCTAGTCCAAACCTGAGCCCCACCGAACCTGGTCCAAAGCTGAGTTCCTCCAAATCTGGTTCAAACCTGAGCTCCTCTGAACCCGGTCCAAACCTGAGCTCCTCCAAATCTGGTCCAAAACTGAGCTCCTCCAAACCTAAACTCCTCCAAACCTGGTGCAAAACTAAGCTCCTCAAAATCTGATCCAAACCTGAGCTCCTCTGAACCCGGTCCAAACCTGAGCTCCTCCAAACCTAAACTCCTCCGAACCTGGTGCAAACCTGAGCTCCTCAAAATCTGATCCAAACCTGAGCTCCTTCGTACCTGATAGAAACCTGAGCTTCTCAGAACCTGGTGCAAACCAAACACAGAAGGAAGCTCCTTCCGCTGCTGCCCAATCAGCTACAGCTGGGGAATTCCCCACCCACAGCCGGACCTAAGCAAAGGGGTGGGATGCTGTGACATCACTGACCTTTTTTGGCCACATTGCTATATATAGTCAATGACATTGACCTAATATGGCTATGTGGCCATATATGGCCAATTATGTAAGTAGAAGCATCCCACTCCTATATTTATGTGCAACTGTGGGGCAGGGGATGCCCCAGCCCACAGCTGATTGGGCGGGGGGGCTCATGTCCCTTCTGGTTTTGGAGGAGCTCAGGTTCAGTCCGGGTCTGTTCCAAAACCTGAGCACATTGCTAGTACTGATATTGGACGAGAAGACCTGGTTAAAGTCATGGCTTCTTGGTCACGTGGGAACAGAAAAGGCCCTTTCCTAAACTGTTACAATGTTGAATTGTCTAAAATGTTTTTGTATGCTGTAGAGTTAACAGAACTTCACTGGAAATACGTGAACATAATAATTTGGAGGGAAATACACATACTTTAGGCCATATAGAATAAGTATGTCAGGTGCCCACATACCTTTGACCATATAGTGGGTGTGATGGTCAGGTGCCCACATACCCGTGACCATGTAGTAGGCGTGATGGTCAGGTACCTACATAACTTTGACAATATAGTTGGTGCGATGGTCAGGTGTTTAACCTTTGGCCATACAGTGTACATAAATAGCCATTTTCACACAATGCAGGCCAAATGGTGGCTCCATAGACTTCCATTGCGGCAAATAAGTCAACTCAAAAGATAACAGAGACAAATATCAAATAGAAAACACATAGGCCGGAAGCTCCGAGCCAAAGGTAGTGCAGAGTGCTCTGCAAGTTTTCAGAGAGCCAAATGTCAAAGGGGCAGCACGGAGGTAAGTGTAGTAACACTTTACACATTCCTTGCTGTATATCCCTGAGCTCTCCTTTATGGGCGAATATGATCAATCAGGAACATTTTGTGAAAAACTGTTCACTCCCCTTGAGGACTTGATCAAAGGTTTAATCTGATGTTATAAAAAGGATTTGCTACTATAAGAGCTTTAAAAATGTGGGATAGTCTTCCACAGGTACAGGTTGGTTTATACCCCCCCACCTCCCAAAAACTAAATATAAATGCTTAACTGCAATTCTAAAAGTACAGAATAGACTGTTCAATCAGAGGTTTATCTGTTTCCTCCATCATAAAGCAAATAGGAATGTTTTATAAGGGTAGTCTTGCCTTTATTTGGATCACCGAGGGTTTCCAGGAATACAGAACATCTCTCCTCCCCATAACATAAGAGCGAGGTGTTGTGTATATATTCAAAAAACCAAGAAAGGGCGCAGAGAACACTGGCTAGTTAACAAAGTAGTGATGAAAAACTGAAGGTGGTGGCACTTACGTGTGATTGCCAGGATCTGGAGATGGGCGGCCGGTATGGAGGATCGGGACACTCGTGGTGTGGTGTCCGACTGTGATCGATGTATTGATCCAAGAGGTATATCCACGGGAGAGTGTAGATGAGAAGAGGGGACTTCGTCTGAAGTGCCGTGAGGGGTCTGTGCGGTGTGGGAGAGAAGCAGGGGGATCGCTGTGGTATCGGCAATAGGCAGCGGGCAAAGGATGGGGCTGTAACAGCCGCAGCTGTGTGTGTCTCAGCGAGCGGTAACTGTCAGATCTGCTGGGGACCATGTGCAGAAGCAGCTGGCAGAAGCCGCAAGTGAAATCCAGTGGCGTGTTGAAGAGGGATCATGCGGACAGGAATCGGGTGTAGGATAGGGCTGTGGCAGCCGTGGCCGCGTGTGTCAACGAGCCGTCTCTGTCGGGTCTGCTGGGGACAGTCAGACGCCGGGGCTCGAGTTGATGGTGGAGTGGAGGGGGATCCAAGAGCGGGACAGGGGAGAGCTGAAGCCGGGCAGCAGAGGCAGCGTAGTCAGCTCACTACAGGAAATTGTCGGCACACTGGATTTCTGGCAGATTAAAAGTAATTTTTCTGTACTTATAGAGTCTTAAAGAGACATGACTCCAGGGAAATGTGCACGTACCGCAGAGATTTTCTGAATGTTTTTTTTCTTCTATTTGGCCCAGACGTATACTTTAGATCCTCTATTACATAAACCAGTTTATAAAATAATATTCTGCACAGTGGTCCTTTGAGAAGTCACTAGTGCATTTTTAATAGAGCTGATTGCAATGTCAGGCTGGCCTTAGACTTTCAAGGGCCTTCAGGATGCACAACGTGACTATACTAAAGATGTCTTGTTGTGTGATGTTTTCAGAGATTGGAATGGCGGACTCAGCCGAATGTCCCTTCCATACAGCCAAAGGCCTCCTGTAGATCACTATCTATAGCTCTTTCCTGAGGCATAAATATGCGATATAAATAGCTACTTAAAGCCCAACTACATATACTTTGAATGTTATTTATTTATTTTTTAATGGGCACACTTAAAAACAATTCTGCTCGTATGTTTTTCTGGATAACAACTCACCCAGAGGAAGCCCATACTACAACTGTGGGGATGCTGTTGCTGTGGTTGACAAAATGAGTCGTTTTAACTGACAGCCAACATCCAAACAAAAGACAGAAAACACTGCCATCTAATTGTAAAAAAGAAAACAGCAGGCCCAGCCAACTGGGCTCATTAATAAAGGGAAATGGAAGCTGAACTCCACGGAGATATAAACGACAAAGATTAATGCAGCTCTGTATTCATTCATCTATCATGAAATGTATTTGTCTAAATGCAAGAAGTACCTGAGTATGAGCTGGTATCAGCCTTGCCCGGTACAGCAGGGGTGGGCAACTCCTGCTGTTGTGGAACTACAAGTCTCATGAGGCATTGCAAACCTGACAGTTACAGGCATGACTCCCAGTGGCAAATTGGGATTTGTAGTTAAAGCAGAGCTGGAGGGCCAGAGTTGCCCATCCCTGCTCTGCAGCAAAGCTCAAATCCGAAGTATGGCAAACCTAAAACCTAATTTTTCTCTACAGCAGGGGTAGCCAAACTCCAGACCTACAGCTTTGGGGCAAGAACAAATCCCTTCATGCATCTGCCTGTGAGAGTCATGCCTGTGGCTGTGACAATCCTGTAACGCCTTAAGGGATTTGAAGTTCCACAACAGGTAGAGGGCCGATATTTGGCTACCCCTGGCATGCAGTCTGGTTAGGATCTTCCCCGGCTTGCTGACTGAACAATAAGTAAGTTCCTGCATGCTTATAAGGTCATCCTGTGAGCCATGACTGGATCAGAGTTGCCCTTCCTTCTCCCGGTGTCAGTGCTGCTTTCCTAAACGTGACAAAATGGTATTTTTTAAGGACGCACCGATACCCTTTTTTCAGTATCAAGTACTGAGTTATATTTCAATACTTACCGATACCGGTACTTCCGCTAGCATCCCTGGCAATCAAGAAGCCAGGCAGCGGGTAAAGACACGCCGCCCGGCTTGATTGCTCGGCAAGCCAGCTTCATGTGGTGTAGCCGTCTCCATGCCGATTGGCCTGGAAGTAGGCCTCCCAGCCAATTAGCATCGAGCTGGCCAAACAGCATGGAGCCGGCTTCCCAGCCAATCAAGAAGCCAGCTCCATGCTGATTAGCTGCGCAGCCGGCTTCCTGGCCAATCAGCATTGAGCTAGCCAAACAGCATGGAGCCAGCTTCCCAGCCAATTAGGTAGCCGGACGGCTAGTTATTACCCGCCGCCCGGCTTCCTGATTGTCCGGGAGGCCAGCTCCATGCTCCCTTGTGGCACTGTCGGTCAGAGAAAATCTCCCTCTGACCGGAAGTTCTGGTATCGGGGGTAGGTATCAGAGTGCTCGCACTTGCCCACATACTCGGTATCGGCACCAATACCAGTATCGGTGCATCTCTAGTATTTTTAATTCGGCATGAAATCGGATTGACTTATACATAACAAAAACAGACAATTAAAAAGGAGCTGAAGGCACACAATTTATCAAACGTAGATTTTATTCCAGTGACCTATTTACAAAGTAGGTTTTCCTGTAAAACTGCCCCTGTGGGGGATTATTACAATAACTTAGTCTGATTACACACTCCTTTATAAAAGGTTTCTAAAGACAATGCAGACGAGCGGCAGAACCAAACTGCATTTTCACTGGTTGGGAGAAATAAAAACACCGATGTATTGCTAGACAGAAAGTTCCTTACAACTCAATACATTCACCAAGACAAGTGTGTATAGTATACACCATATACAGTAGTCCCGCTCTCTCACATGTATGACCAAGCACTGGTGACTAGGAACATGTGAAACATCTACACTCAGTTATGACTGCACTCTGGAGGTCACATGGCTCTAGTAGAACGGCGTTCCAATCCTATAGGATCCAGACTGCTTGTGTACAGATTACAGCTACGAGACTTTCCGCTTTTTAGCCGACGATGGCTCTTCCTCTTCATCTGGAAGGAAAATCAGAAGATTAAGACTCGTAGCCAAAAACAATAGCGAGACTAAATTTAAAACATTGGGGATGCTTTAAGCCTTTTGCTACCACAGACGTATGCCGTATCATTAGCGATAAACTGTTTAAAATTAACTCCGTTACAAAAACTAGAGGCCATCACCTAAAATTGGTGGAAAAAAAATTCCAGCACAAGGGGCGAAGGGGGTTCTTCACAGTAAGATCAGTTAGGGTCTGGAACTCACTGCCACAGACAGTGATTTCAGCAAATAATGTGGAATTGTTCAAGAAACTTTTGGACGATTTCTTAAGGGACCGTAATATACAGGGGTACAGGTAATATACAGGGGTACAGGTACTCCTAGAATGAGATCCTAATAGGTTGGACTTGATGGACTAATGTCTTTATTCAACCTCAAATACTATGTAACTATGTAAGTCACTAGGCCCTTTAAACACACTGAATGGAATTTATCAAAACAAGAGCAGACAAAACCTAGAGCAGTTGCCCATGGCAACCAATCAGCTTCTCTCTTTCATTTTCAAATCTTAACTGAACAAACTGGAGAGAGAAGCTGATTGGTTGCCATGCACAGCTGCTCCAGATTATGTCTGCTCCAGTTTTGATCAAATCCCCTCACTGTGTTCAGCTGTATAAAGCCAACGGTCAGCTTCACACTGGAAGCGATTCTAGTGGCCGAGCTGCCGCCAGATCGCTTCCAGGGGCTTGTGAAGTACCTTGCTTCCCGGGCTCCACTGCCCCTCTTGCGGGCCCAGGACTGGCATCATAGGTGCTGGCGGGTAGAGGGGAGACAGACCAGCAAACATCCGTTTGCCGATCTCCAACCCGCCGAATGGAGAAGGACGTGACCCTGATTGCATCACTTTCAGCCCCTCAGCTATCTGTCCTCCACTAGAGAAGCTATTAAAGCACGATCTGCACTGAAACAGTTTCTTTGAATTGGAAAGGTGGCAGTAGTCATCTAATAGACTCCTAATGTCACCCAAATTTTCTCGCGGACCACTGATTGGCGACCGCTGCCATAGAGCGCCTCTGGAGAGATCTCAAAACAGTGGTTGGCAAAAGGAACCCCGCCAATCGGAGAGACCTGGAGCAGTTGGCGAAAGAAGAGAGGTCCAAAATTCCTGTAGAGAAGTGTAAGAAACTCATTGATGGTTACAGGAAGCCATTGATTTCAGTTATTTTTTGTTTTCCAAGGGCTGTGCTACCAAATATTAATTGAGGGTGGCAATAATTTTGTCCAGTCCATTTTTGGAGTTGTGCGTGGAATGTGTCAGATTTGGCCTTTTCTTTTTATCCACTTTTTTGTGTCATAGCAATACAAACAAGAAATAAACATGAGAATGTCTAAAAACATTTGTCTATGCACGCGCCAACTAACCTACTACCTGCGCTTGTATGGGTTTCCTCTGGTTACCTCCCACACTGTACCCCAGAGACATGCTGTCATTGGAGTGTGGGAGGTAACTGGAGTACCAGGAGGGAACCCATACAGCAGGGGTAGTGTTCTGGTTGGAATTTGAAATGAGGACCTCAGTGCTACATAGCAGGCATGCTAACCACAAAGCTACTGTGCTGCCCACCATAAAATCTTTCCCCCTGCCTGCTTTTGAAAAGTTGTACGCTGACAGCCACCCATCAGCATACAATCACGGCATCTGTAAGTGCTGGGTGCCGGGATGAAGGAAATCCCGTTCCCAAGTCCAGGAGTCACATCACTTCCCAGCCAATCAAGGCGGCTAAAGACGGCTGATCCGGGAAGATGGATTAAGAGGTACCGGTGATGGAGTGATGAGGGAGATCACGGACATTGCAGTGCTGGAGGGGGGCACTTTACTCTCCAAGGTGAGGGGATTTCCCTATGCTGGGATTGAGAGTTGTCACATAAATAGATGTTCTCATTGGAGGAAATAAAATTTCTGTATATGGAGATTTTATGAGCCAACAATGTCCTCTTACCAGGAGAGTCAATGGCGGTCTCCTCATCCGGAAGAAACTTTGCTTTGCTGACCTGTTGAGGAGCATCGTCTCCATTGTCTTGGTACATACTGGACCACTTTATAGCCATGTCCAACTCGGGGGGCGGTCCCTTCTTCTCTTCCACCTTGTAGGATTCTGGAGGAGGAACAGCATTCATCTTCCATGCTTTAAACTCTCTGGGGGGCTGTGCCAATAAAACAAGAATATTACAGATGATCAAATCCAAGATAATTGTATGTTCAGAGTACAATCCGTGTATAACTCCATCTCTGCGACTGATCTGTAAACCCAATTCCTGAAATAATGACTCCTTCATCAGTAACCCCCCACCACCTCCTCTCTGATCAGTACCCCTCTATCCCATCCTCCCCCTATCAGTAACCCCCTCTATCCCATCCTC